AAAAAAAAAAAAAAAAAAAGGTCTAGCTGATAGATAAACACATAAACCATTGCAAGACTCGTCATATCAACAAAATTCTAATAGGCAACCTGAAAATTGTCATATATTATTCATTATTAACATCGAAATAATATTACACATAAAGTTATATCTTCTGGGTCACGACCGAGTTAGATACCCCAGCTTCCTCGATCGTCTGATCCAAGTCGGCCAGCTGCTTGGTAGGGAAACCTTTTGTCTGCAGCTGGTAAGCTGTTGACCCACCGGGCCTTGATGCGTCTATGAATCCCCGGATATCTCTAATCGTGTGGTGTGGTTGAAGCGCAAGACCAAACGTGTGCCATCTGCCAACCTTAGCTGAATCGAGAGCTTGAAGAAGGCATACCATGTTCAACAGATGCTGCTAGAGCTCCCGCCTGTTTTGCCTGATTGAATAGTTCGTCTATGTCGGTTGCTTTTGATGGATCCTGAACAAGCATCCCACAGTAACAAAAATTACTATGACATATATACAAGTATAACACAGACGGTTGGTACTCAGTACATAATAAACTGGTACAGACATTTACCACAAGTAAGTAGATAAATGGTTTGACAAATCTTACATGACTAGTTTGAGATGAATGTTTTGATTCAAACGAAACAATAGTATTTCTCAAAGTTGGGACAATTAACTTAAAAGTTGTCAACTATCACTTAATAATTTAAGCCATTTCATTGAAATGTTCACAACTCTTGCCGAATAAATCACATTTCACGGCATCAACATCCTATTAGTGTAGTTTTTGCATCATATCTCTTGCAAAGATTGTAACATATAACGATAAAATTGACATGCATGGAGATAAGTGAACAACACATGTGACTGTTAAAATCGGGCGATGAAATTTTTTTTACGTATCTCAAAATTTCGAACTCGAAATTTCAGATCCAAATTCAGATTTGAATCTGATTTTACTGTTGCAATTGATTTTCTTGATTTCTTTATCCTATGGAAGAAGTCGGTATCATAAGCTGCCAAGAAGAAAAATTCACTTGGATAATTTGCATAAAAAAATTGGACTATGGGTTGGAATTGCCAAAAATCCAAAACCGAGCTCGAATGAAGAAAATTAACTAAAGAAATTGCGATCGTAGTCCACCTCAACAAGGGGAAATAGACTCTCAGGGTCGATTTCGACTGCAAATTTGAGTTTCTATTTATTTGCCTGCTATTCTTTTCTTGGTTTGTGCTCAAAGAAAACCTATAATTTTGGGCGCTAATCCAATTTGGCGAGTGAAAATTTGAGCTGTTTTTTTTTTTTTTT